TCAACAGCAACCAATCACGATTGAGGTTAACAGAACAAGCTATGGGTCAGACGTGGATAAGTTAGAATACTTCACTTCCATCTGAATTTTGTGCTGATGATGTTGTTGAGAGGGTAAACAATGAAATCTCCATAACCAAAATATCCAGCTCAGAGAACGAAACACCATCACAATACCATTGGCTGCCAGAGACAATATGTCCAGAGTTTGATCCCCAGTAGGATAGTCGGTGGGCACTGCTGAGGAATTGCATACTAGGACGGACTAGCTATTTAATGCGTTCTGGTTCCTAATGGCCCTCTGTTGTCTCCACAAAACCTTATCCTGATAAATCAATAAAAGCCTTAATTTCTGTTTCCTTCCATCCATTATTATTCAAGAGTAGATATAAATTTGATTTGTTCAACAAAAATAACTTTAAAAAATTTAAGTTACTTAAATAAACTCACTCACAATTGTTGGTGATGTTAAATCCCCAGAACTCGCTTGATAAATGCCTTATTTTGGATTTCACGTTCGCGAGCATGGGCTGATCAGTTGACCTTGAGATTTCATTTCCCACCAGGAAAATCCATGGCTGTGATTGGCTGCTGTGTATTTTAGTGTGCTATTTTCGTAACTGTCCCAAGGACGTTTCTATGATGTATAAATAAACGAGAGTTGTGTGTGCTTGATTGTATTGCGATTGCTGGGTGTTTGTAGAATATACTTTCTACGCTTACAAAGACTTCTGTTTTACAGCTTGGGATTCAAGGTAGCCTATCTGGACGCTGGTTCATTGTCTCGTTCGCGTTTATCGACTAAGGTGAACTCGTAATAGCTTCAAGCATACTTAGTGACGAACCCTACACAATGTATGTCTAATGCTTCCTTTTTACTCTAAACTTTCGATTTTCCCAAGTGTTTTTTAGTCTGCGCTCTCTCTCTCTCTCTTTAATCTCAAAACTAGAATCCACTAAGAATTCCTCGTAAATAATGTACAATCATAATCAATTGTAAAAGATAAATTCCAAAATTTCTTATTCCACACTTTCAGATCAAACATTTTCTTCCTTTGGATCACTAATTTGGTGTAAATATTTTTATTAGCGGTGCAGTCAGATAAGGGAATGTGTGAAGAGTTAGTTGTGGAGAGAAGAGAGGTATGTGTGGGTGTAGGAAGGATTTTATTTTATTTTAGTGGCGGCCAAACCAAAACATGGCAGAAATCCATGAAGTCATTGACGAGTGGACTTAGCCATGTCGGTAATTGTCGACTACCTGGTTGGGGTCCGCGAGATGATAATAATCGATGGTTAGATACTCTGAATGACATGGCTCAAAATCGTTCGCAATGGCACCAGTGCATTTATTCTTTATATTCACCCAAATCCTAATCTTCTGGATTCTTCAACACTTCTAGTTTTGACTTTCTAAACTTTTCTCACTGAATCATACTTCTTGAATAATATCTTCTAATCCTAACCTCTCCGATTACTTCTAATACCTTTACTACCTCTTCTACTATTGGATTCGAATTGACAATTAGATCTCTGTTCTGATGTGATATGGCAACATGAACTGATGTACTTACGTACAAAGTTCTACGTTGCATCTGACTGACTGAAATATTTTTATTTTAAGTACTATAATCAACTATCCATGATGTAAAACACATTCATACTTTGATTGTTTCTACAATTATTTGATGAAAGATGAATCTAATACTTTTGAATCTATCTATTGATAGTTAGGACTGTAATTGATCAGTCTTGTTTGGCATATGTACATTCTGAACCGCGCATCGCGTCCGTATATCCATTAATATAGATGGGGATACACAAGCGAATGGATATGTCTGAATTCAGTGGCTAAGTGGATAACGCTGTGGCGTTTAAATCTAAAGGTGCTAGTTTTGAGTCCCTAAATGAACATCAACTATGAGATGCAGGTACTTCCAACGGACGAGTCCTGAACAGGATGAAACGTACGTCGTGGATTCTACTACTTGCATCTAATTAGATTACTTTCTAATGATGTTCGGGACGTTAGATCCCCAGAACTCGCTTGATAAATGTCTTCATGTTGGTTTTATTCATGGGTTGATCAGTTGGTCGACCTTGAGATTGAATTTCCCACCAGGAAAATCCTTATCTGTGATTGGTTTCTGTGTCATTTTACTGAATCTTCCAAGGACGTTTCAATGATGTGTAAATAAATGCGATTTGTGTGCCTGAGATTATTTTGTGCTTGTTGGGTGTTTGTGGAATACACTTTCTACGCTTTATATCAAGACTTTTTCGTTAATTCCTTTGAGTCAACGGATCACAGTGGCCTACCCGGACATTAATTCATTGTCTTGTTCTCCTCTATCGACTAAAGTGAACCCGTCATAATTTCAAGTATATAGCAAGTGACGAGCAATAACAAATGCGTAAAAACGCAAACCTCCAAAACTGTGCCCCAAAATATCGTAACAGTGCTCACTAGTGACTAGCTTCGCGAGGAAATTCTCGGAGTTCTAGTTGAGAAGACGTGACCAATGGAGTTCAACCCTGTCGGGTGTAGGCAGTAACTACCAAAGACAAATGGGTGAGGTCGCACAAAATCCCTAGATCAATCAGAGTTAGACATCAACACCGTTGGATGCCGGCCCAGTGGTCCGATGGTGAGGCGTTCGCCTACAATGCCAAAGGTCCCGGGTTCGAATCCTGCGAGGAGCAGGATTCGTTGTTGCGCACTCCCGAGGAGTCCCATGATAGGATGAAACGACCGTCCAGTGCTTCCAGGTTTCTAACGGAGTAGTCTAACAATGGTGATTGTGTAATAATCTTATTTTCATCATAAGAATAAATGTTTTCAACTTTTATCATCATCGTCATCATTCTATTTTTTCATTTTTTACAAACAACCTAGCTAACATACAGTGAAAATACATTGAACACTTCTACGAAACATCAAAAACAACCAAATGAATTATTACAAAAATCAAATTCACACAAATCAATCTTGTTAACAAATAACAACACACTGACATCCACTATCCAAGTTCCATTCAATGGAATCGAGACCAGTTGTAGTACAAACTCTTTGCACAATCATTATAATCATACTAGTAGTATTTCACCAAGATTATTTCCTAAACAAGTGACCACAGCAAATGTGATATTATTAACTAAACCAACAAGTGTTATGACATCATCGACAGATTCAACAAAAATATCTAAAGTACAAAGACAATTTCGATCAAATAGTAATGTAAGTTTACTTTAATACATTGGGTTTTTCATTTTTGCACTCATCATCTATAAAATAAATAGTTTCACAAATCGATCATTGTTTAGATCGATGACCATTTAGAAGTATTGCAAGAAGGCTGTTTCGCCTTGGTATGTGCTAGGGATGTTAGATACCCAGAACTTGCTTGATAAAAATAGCTTTATTTTGGATTTCAATTCATGGACCGATCGATCAGTTGACCTTGAGATCATATTTCCCATCAGGAAAATCCTTGGCTGTGATTGGTTACTGTGTCATTTTAGTGTGCTATTTTTGTGACTGTCTCAAGGAGTATAAATAAAAGCAATTTAAGTGCTTGAATTCCTTGTGTGCTTGCTGGGTGAACTCTTAATAGTTGAAGCATACATAGATACGAGCGTAACAGTATGGGGACTTATCAGTGGCATTAAGCATCCACGACTCCTGCGGCCTTGCACGCGAATGCCTAACCTCTAGACCATTGTGCTAGCTGACATCTAGTGGTGCTAATGTGCAACTCTGATTAATCTAGGGATTTTGTGCGACCTCATCCATTTTTCTCCCGTCCTGGGTTCGAATCCTGTGAGTTATGGATGCTTACAGCCTATGGGTTTCATTGCAGGACAAAACGGCCGTCCAGTACTTACAGATTTTATAAAGGTGGTCTAACAATTATTATATCATGATTTCAGTATTACTTTCGTGAATACGATTATAGTCTTTACAGGTTAATTTATTAGGTTGAAATTTAGACTTATACTTTTCAAAGATGTTAATTAGTCAATTGATCACAAAGCTCTTAATCAAGAACGAAAGACGACAGATCAACAGATGAAGTATTGAAACTTTATCAGTTGAGTTGGTTGGGTCACGTACTACGAATGCCTAACCACCGACTACGTCGTCAAACGATATTTTGTGGTGTAAGAGTTGGTTGGAAAAAACCTAGGGGTGGCCAAACCAAAACATGGAGCAAATCCATGAAGTCACTGACAACTAGATTGAGTCATGTTGGTAGATGTAGACTATCTGGTTGTTGTCCGCGACTTGATAGTATTCGGTGGTTTGAGACCTTGAATGACATGGCTCAAAACTATTTTCAATGGCGCAGGTGCATCCATTCTTTGTTTTCTCCCAAATCCCAACCTCCTTAACTCCTTTCTTTCTAAGTTGATTTCACTAGGTTCTACTTCCTTGAACCCTAACGTCTCCGATTACTGTTCATACTTCTACTACCTCTACTACTTATGGGATTTGAATTGACATTTGCGTCTCTGTGCTAATGTGATATAGTAACGTAAAATGATGTACTTACGTACGAAGCTCTACGTTTTGACTGATTGACTGACTGACAGGCTAAAAGATGACATATAAAACCTAAAAATATAACCAATCAGATATTTCAGTCATTCTGACTGTAAAAAAGTACATTCCAGCTTGTGCAGCAAGTAAACTCTGAAGATGTTGTCGTGAATATCATTTTCAAGTAAAGTTATTCCTAATATTCCTAACTTAATGCAAGTCATATCTTCCGAAGTTAATTGGTTAACACTATTTTCGTCTATCGTTTTCACATTAACAGAGTCGTGAAAATATGTATGATAGAAGAAGAGCAGTGAATGCTGCTGCTGATGATGCTGATGATGATGGTGAATTTCTCTTCGGTCCGCCGCCGCCAACAACAACAACGACCTTATCATTGAATTATCAGAATCAAAATTATCCAAATGATAATTATCTGACATTATCATCCACTGAAGAATTATTACCCAGTCAATCTGATGCTACTTCATATAATATACTACAAATGGAAGAGGATAATTCTAGTTATTCTTTAGCGAATCATACTACTAACAATAACAATAATAGTAGTAATACAAAACAACCGAAAGAATTATTCACTGAAGTAGCTCGTCTACGTTATGAATTATTATTATCACGTCAAGATGCACTACGTGCAGCGGATCGATTGAGTAAACAAGAAACAGAAATCTATCAACTTCGTCAATTATTAGATCAGTTGATCAATAAAAATAAAATCAATACTACTACCGCTACTACTGCTACTACTACTAGTATTAGTAGTCAGTCTAGCCATTTGAAGAAAACACCGAAATGGTGGAATATTGATTCGGATTATTGTGTAAACAATGCACAACAGAAGAAGAATACAATGCAATCATATGGTGATAATCAACCAGCCTATTCATCATCGCGTAAACAATCGACTGCGGCGGTTACTGCCAATATGACTACTACTACTACTACTACTAGTAGTAGTAGTAATAATAATAATAATAGAAATACTCATAACAATGATGCAAATGTTTTACAAACTGTATCGGCTACATTTAAAGAATTAGATGATGCTATGGCAAGGTTAGTTTTGCTAGATTTGCTATGCATTTTCTTTCACATTCTCTTGCCTATCTCAGTTGTGGGGAATAGTTAGTTGTTCATTGCTTACGCTTTTGTTCAAGAAACTGTTGGCATGGATTAGTAGTTGTTTTGTAGTGTAGGCGTAAGTTGGAAGAAAGTTAGGGGCGGCCAGACCAAAACATGGCACAAATCCACGACATGTCACTGACAAGTGGACTGAGCCATGTCGGTAATTGTCGACTACCTGGTTGGGGTCCGCGAGATGATAATTATCGATGGTTAGACACCTGAATGACATGGCTCAAAATGGTTCGCAATGTCGCCGGTGCATATATTCTTTGTGTTTTCTCAAATCCTAATCTTCTAGATTCTTCAAAACCTCTAGTTTTGTCTTTCTAAACTTTTCTCATTGAATCATACTTCTTGAATAATATCTTCTAATCCTAACCTCTCCGATTACTTCTAATAACTTTTACTACCTCTTCTACTATTGGATTTGAATTGACAATTATATCTCTGTGCTGATTTGGTATGGCAACTTGAACTGATATACTTACGTACGATGTTCTACGTTGCATCTGACTGCTTGACTGGTATGGATTAGATTCGAGTATAGATTTAATTGTAATGTTTGGGTCGGTTTGTCAACAAAACTACTTATTCGTTAGAAGGAGTACAAAGAACAATAGTGTTACGCCTGTACGTGTAAACACATCATTTTGATATGCTTGAATGCTAGTACGAGTTTACCTAGTCGGAAACGCGAGAGCAAGGATCGAAGATCCGGCAAACACGACACGCTGCTCTGATCCGAGTGTCTCAACCCCCTATTGAATAAAAGAAGAAGACTTGATATGAAGTAGAACCTGTATTTTACAAGCATCCAGAAAGTACGAGGTCCGAGTCCAGAAGAGAATCAGGATCCCGAACTAGGATCCGGGTCCGGGTCATATAACGTTACAGATAATGCGTATTTATTTATACATTTAGGTCGATTAGGGAGAGAATCGAAGTCTGTGACATTGAGAGTTAAGGCGACCAATAAGAAACAACATTTGAAGTACGGGACATTGATATCTAGTACGACTATAATTTTGACCAATAGAATTTACACTTACAAAATGATTCCTCGTTGGATATTTGGTGAATATCCTAACAACTGTGAATACAACAATTGCCTATGATTTCAGAAAGAGGACTACCACGGTAATGCGTATTTAAATTCTGGAATTATGTTCTTCAACCGGATGAGATGCTGTTCTCTCAAATCATTATCTCTGAATACTTCATGACCGTTTTTCTCGACTAATATATCCGATCAGCCATTCTTTTATTACTGCTAATACTTCCACTAACTCTACTACTATGGGTTCCGAATTGACAATTGCGTCTTTGTGTGCTACTGTAGTATTGTGGTGTGAGCTACTTATAAGTAGTATATGATGTGAGTGTCAACGTAATGTCTGGCTGCATAATATCGGGGAAGATCAAGAAAGGAAGAGTTAGAAGAACACAATGGAATTTGTATGAAACGCACGAACAGTGACATTGGGTTGATGTTTTGCAACATGAACAGTCTAGTTCGATATGATGAACTGTTATTTTACAAATGAACGATTTACGATATGGTTTTCGTATTTTACTGAGTAACTCTGTAATTTCGTTAAATACAATTCGGTTGCCCCACCTGTGTTCGCTCGTTCACTACAGTATAACAGCTTGAACTGATGTGCGTATCTACGAAGTTCTATGTTGTAACTGACGAACTGACTGATTGACTGACAGATCGAATTGTTTCAAATTATTCTCTCTCTCTCTCTCTCTCTCACTCTCCCCATCTCTTCCTCACAGATTGGAATTAGAACAAAGTGAACTACTACGTGAACAAGCACGAATACGTGCACGTATCGCTGCTACTCGTCCAAAACAGTCAATATCCCAAAGTAAACAATTTAATCCCAACCTTCCTTCAACTCGTTCAAACCAATCAGTAATTCCCGCCAAACAATTCAACGCTTCATCATCATCAAAATTATCTGTGAATTTAAGAAATCATGCCTCCTTATCTACAAATCCTACTGATCAAATGAAATTCCGAAATTCTCCTCATATAATTCACAATGATAATAATCATAATAATCATAATCATAATCATAATGGTAATCATCATCTAAATCCTACTAATCATAACAAATCGTCAACTCGAACATCACCACATATGTAAAGATCAGAACATTGTATCGATCGATTTATCGATCTATCGATCTATCCGTCCGTCAGATAGGTATTTTTCGCAAAGAAAATGCCCGATGCATTTTGAATCAATCGTAAACTTTCATTACCCATGTAAAACTAATCCCCTTTGGATTGTTTGTGTCAATTGTTAGTTTTTCCCAAAATTTTACCCGTACAAGTAAATGGATAAGCAAAGTCCAATCTATCATGTGTGTGTGAGTGTGTGTGCGTGTGTGTATAGTTTCCCCATGGGTGTGTGTGTGTGTGTGTGCGTATACAGAGCTATACAGAGAAGAGAGATATATATATATGTAACATATTATTTTCAATCGAACTTTTGTTCATGCAAAACACAACAAACAATAAGCTGATCTTTTTTTCATGTTCTTCCTTGTAATTGTTTTTTTCTCCTGATTTTATTGATATATTTTTAAAGCATAAATTTATTATTTTGTGGTGCTGTTTTTTCGCCCTCTCTCTCTCTAGAAAATTCTAGAAAAAGGAATGTGATATTGAATTTGTAAATTTTAGCCTACTTATAAGTAATAATAATAGATATATGAAAAAAAAGTAAATATTTTATGTTGTATTTCAATGATCGTATTTTTTAATGTTAGTTAGCTATAATATAGAACTTTGTACACATGTACATCAGTTCAACTTGCACATACGACATTAGCACACAGAGATGTAATTGTCACCCGATCGTAGCGGCTATCTTGACGTGGTGATTGGGCTTGCCTATCGTCATGACTCAACCGAGCTATATTGGCTGGAACATATGTTGCTGAAGGTTCTACCATGCCAGTCAGGTCGATTGGAGAACGATGAGACTAAAAACAGCTACTCAAGATCTGAGAGCGAAGTCGTACTGCTGACTACTGCAGAGGGATGTGACAGCAGTAAGGTGTTTCCCTCAGACAACCAGCATCTGCAGCGATTCTGCCTTCTCACAAGGAAGGAAGGGTTAGAAAAGGTCGACCCTAAAAATGTCACACATCACCCTACCTCCGTCTCCATCGGTAAGGGTTGCCACTAAGGACTTTCAAGAGCAGAGCGAATACTCAGAAAATCTTTCATAAAAAGGCCGTTCGTGACCGGCCTGAAGCAGTAGTCCCTTGGACTCTGCGGTCACGCTCTCAGGTCTCTAAGACCGACACTGATCTGCCTTCCTTTTTATGTTCTTCAAGAAACAAGTTTCCACGGTGTGTTCAGCCGGAAAGTGACAACCGTTTTCACAAGAAAATCCTTCCTACACTCGGTAACATCTCTCTTCTCTCCACGACTAACTCTACTCACATTCCCTTATCTCACTGCACCGCTAATGTAAACGAAGCGAGTTCACGAAACGTCATTCGTGGTCTCCTGAAACTCCGTTCTAGATTACATGTTGGGGCTTAATGTACGGACATTATGTCGAATAGGGCAACAAGCTTCGTTAGCTAGGACTTTAGAATCTAGTGCCATCGATGTATGCTCCGTCTCGGCAACGCGCATACAGGATCCTAGAAAAGTCAATAATTTGATTTCATCTTGTCAAAATAAAGAAGCAGCTCGATTTACTCTTCGTGTATCTGGAAGCCTCGATGCTGCTTGCAGGGGTCTCGCTGGTATAGGTATAGTATTGAGTCGTAGAGCTGAACAATCTCTCCTAGATTGGATCCCAGTAGATAGTCGCCTGTGCGCTGTCCGACTAAATGGGACAGTAAGAAATCGGAAAGACAGGGACACCCGTCGTTGGCTCTTCGTCGTATCTGCCTATGCTCCCAATGTTTGCAGTCCAGACGAGGTTAAAGATGAGTTTTACAGAAAGCTTTCGGACCTCCTCCAAAAAGCTAGGCGGTCTGATGTAGTAATAATGGCTAGTGACACTAATGCTGAAGTAGTTAGACTGAGTGAAAATGATAGACACCTAGGTGGATGTTATGGTGTCGCGGATGAGAGAACAGACAATCGTGACCGTCTGTTGCAACTATGCTCAGACAATCGCCTATTCTTAGCAAACACTAACTTTAGGCATAGGCAAAAACATCTTTTGACTTGGCGACCCCCAAAGTCGTCACATCGCTGGACCCAACTATATCACATTGCCATCAGCCACCGATGAACAGGTTCGATAGAGGACTGTCGCTCGTTCTGGGGCACATGTTTAGATTCAGATCATGCCCTATTGCGAGCTCGTATTTATTTAAGGCTTACTGGGCGTAGGGAAGACACCGTAAGGAAGCCTCTTAGGGCTTTACTTAATGATAATCAAACTAAGAAAATATTTCAGGAGCAACTGGAAACAGAGTTAAGCAACCATGTAAGCGATTCCCATCCAGAAGCAGGTTGGAATGATATCCAAAATGCTGTGGAAACAGCAGTGATATCTTCTAATAAGGTAAACCATAAGGCTAGGATGAAGCCGTAGATCTCTGTAGCATCCACCGAACTGATGGATGACCGAAAACTCATCCCACCTGACTCTGAACATGACGAAGAGCGAAGTCAGCTTAGGAAGAGGCCAATGAAAAGCCTAACGACCGCGAACAGTGGTGGGTGGCGAAAGCAAAAGCGATGGAAAAGGCAGCGGCGATCGGAAACAGTAGACAACTTTTCCGACTTATCAAGGAAACTGGTATTAGGAGACCTAGTGTATGTGAGACTATCTCGGAAAAGGATGGGACTATTATTTATTCTCAATCTAGGAGACTGGATCGACGGGCAGAACGTTTTAGGGACCAATTCAATTAGCCCTCAGCCACACTTCTGTTGCCCACAAAGTTCTACGTTGCATCTAACTGACTAACTGCAATTGTGAAGTGGCTGAGGTATTATGAGTATGAGCAGTAATCGGAGAGATTAGGGTTTGATAAGGTTATTCAACGAGTTTATAATCAACTGAAACAAATTTGAAAAGGGGCAGATGGTCTTAAGTAATTTAGATTATAACTTTTGAGAACAGAAAGAGTGGATGCACCTGCGTCATGGCAAACGATTTTAAGCAATGTTATTTCAAAGTCTCTAATGATCGGTAACTATCATCTCTCGGATCTCAACCACGTAATCTACATCTACTAACATAGCTCAGTTCATTTGGCAGTGACTTCACGGATTTGTCCTATGATTTAGTCTGGCTGACCCTAGCTTTCTGCTAGCATACCCCCTAGATCAGGCAACATAGCTCGTCAGGGCAGTCGGTGGTTATGCATATATGACGCACATGTCCATACATCTCAATTGATGAAGTCTCACTACCTTATCTGCTGATCTACCTTCCTTATTTAGAACCGGTTTCCTAACAACAGCGATGCTTACTCAATTATCCCAGGATATACGAGCAATGCTTCATAGACACCTATGATTGAAAACCTGTAACCTACGAATATCTTCTACTCTTACTAACCATTAATCACTCCTAGATAGGGCACAACCTCATCCATTGTCTTTAAAGAACACTGCTTCACGCTCAAAACAAGATAGAACTCCATTGGTCACGACATCTCACAAGGACTCAGAGAAACTTACTCACGGATCTCGTCACTAATAGTCAGCGCAAGAAGGTCCTTAACAAAGAATAAAAATTCCCTTACTCGATTTGATCATTGACTAAACTGGCGAATATTTCAAACAGAATAAAGTACCATAAATTTACATTGTGAAAAGACAAAAAACAATATGATCTTTTAGTTCTTATAGTGAAATAATTAAGCAAAAACACTTTCATTTAAGATCTTGTGATTACTTCGTATATATATATCTGTATAATACCACCAGGGTTTGAGATATTTATATTATATCCTACTGTGCAATCATTTTCAAACTAGTCAAATTAATCAAATAGAGAATTTTTAAAATAAAAGTATTTTATTCATAATACAGCAGTAAATTATAAGTGTAAGGTTTTTGAAAATCGTACTGAATTTTAGAATTTACAACACAAAATGTGTAATAATTGAGGCAAAACCAACCAAATGACCTGTATTCGACTGCTTTTATAAAGCTATGAACAAATGATTGTGTGGTGTGAGCTACTTATAAGTAGCATATGACGTGAGTGTCAACGTAATGTCTGGCAGCAGAAAATGGGGCAAGATCAAGAAAGGAACAGTTAGAAAACAATGGAATTTGTATGAAACGCATGAATAGTGACAATGGATTGATGTTTTGCAACAGGAACAGTCCAGTTCGATATGATGAACTGATATTTTGCAAATGAACGATTTACGATATGGTTTTCTGGTTTTACTGAGTAACGCTGTAATGTTCGTTAAATATAATCCGGTTGCCCCACCTGTTTTCTCGTTCACTACAACTGGACAGTTATTTCTTTATCATACAAAATTCTCAATGGCTAGCAAACATACACGGTTGACAGTGCCCACTCGTGCGTAAGAAAATCATCGTCTTCGTTCATAATTAATTAGCTTAAAACATCGCGATAGCGCGAATATAAACAGTGACGAGTTGTCGCCAAAGTGTTGGCTCAATGTCTGGACTGTTTCAGAAGATGAAAGATCTTGTAGGTTCAAAAGCAGGATCGAATTGCAGTACTTGTCCAACTCACTTGTAACCAACGTTCGAAGTAGCAGCCGAACATTCCAAGCATCATTTTGATTGGCGAAATCAAATTTAGATAAATCTTCATAACGCCGAGATCCCATGTCAAAAGTAACGCTGGTGTAGTGCCTCCACATATATTCCAGTTTGCTTACATCTAACTTGGTTAAGCCCTTTCGATTAATTTATTTAATCAAGCCTTGTATAGCAACAACTCATATGTACCATTGGTATTTTTTATTATCTGGTTTGTATGAGCTTGTACGACTGAGCATTGCTTACGCCTACGCGCTTACTCATCCTTTTCGCTTTAATGTTAATCTCTTAATATCCCCATGAACTCACATGATTTGTATCGCTTGCTTTTGACCTTGTCAATCATTCGGCGCTTTTATTCATGTCTGTGAATGCCTATTTCGCTTGTCATATGTCTGTCTTATTTTTATCTGACTATATATTCTTAGTCATACTCTATCTCTTTCAGTTGGCTCTTAGCCTTCTCCGATTCGCTTCGCTTTGTGGTGTGTCCCGAATAAACGTATTCATCAATACGAGTTCATCTTCTGATTTATAAACCGAGCTATAAGAACACGCAGTTAAACGACACACTACACTGGCATCAAGATCATAATGGAATTCAGCTATGCTATTTGTGATGCTGTCGACTGATGGAGCTGTGGTTGCATTAGATGAGCTGGGCTGTGTGGAAGGGGAAATCTGTATATCTGTCACCATCTGCATCAGTTTCATCTGCTGCTCAAGTAATAATTCAAGTTTGGCAGGATTCATGTTTCCAAAACGACCGTCGTCAATTGTCAAGGTCGTCACTTGCTATGCTTGAAACTATTACGAGTTTACCTTAGTTGGTAAACAAGAGAGAGGATTGAGGATCCGGTGACACCTCAGGCTACTCTAACCTGATCGTCCCAAACCTTCATTGAAAAGAAGTAGAAGACTTGATATGAAGTAGAACATGTATTCTACAAACATCCAGAAAGTACGAGATTCAAGTCCAGAAGAAGGCAAGTATCCCGGACTGAGGACCCGGGTCCGGATCATAAAACGCTACAGATAATGCGTATTTATACATTTAGGTCGATTAGGAATGGAATCGAAGTCTGTGACATTGATAGTTAAGGCGACCAATAGGAAAAAAACATTTGAAGTGACATTGATATATAGGACGATCATAATATTGACCAACAGGAATCGACCAATAGAATTTATACTTACAAAATGATTCTTCGTAGGATATTTGATAAATATCTTAACACTTTCAGTTTTGGTGTACGACCTTTAACCTTGAGGCTACTCCAATAACTAGTCACTATTTACTGGTTTACATACGTGGTATAATGAATGTACATAGCTGAGTATTTCGTTATCAAAATTAAGTAGTTGTCCAGTGGTTGATAGCTTTCAAAATCTGTCCAGTTCAAGCGCACTTTTATTGTAAACTACGAATGATAAGTTTGAGGAGTTTTAAATTAAACAAGGATATTGTCGTTTACACTTAAACGAGTTAAAATGTAAAAAATACATTCCATCTCAACTAAGTTGTAATTACAGCTTTACCTATTTTAAGATTCGTAGTCTCCTTCCTGTCAGTTGCATGAGAGGATTATGAAGATGGTTCAGGTATTTTTGAAATCATGAATCAGTCGATGTTAGCCGCCATTAGAAAATTGGAATCACTGGACAGTTGTTTTGTCCTTGTATGAGACTCATCAGCAGTGCGCATCCACGAATCCTGCTGCTGCTACTCGAAGAATTCGAACCAAGGACCTCATGTCTTGCGCGCGAACGCCTAAGCTCTAGACCACTGAGCACGAATCTAAAGGTGGTCTAACGCTGATCGATTCATGAATTCAAAAATGAATTCAAAAAATGGCTGACAATAAGCAAAATGTTGTCAGGCTATTGATGTACATTGATAATGACAAGGTGATTGATTATAGAGATAGTTTCATCAAGGTACAGATCGATAGTCTCTTTTGTTACAGAAATTCGTGGATAAAGAAGCATCGAAAGTGTTGCAGTCTATCTCAGTTACAATGTAGGACTTCGTACGAACGCACATCAGTTCAGGTTTCCGTACCGGATCAGCACAGAGACGCCACTGGCAGTTCAAATCCCATAGTGGTAGCCATAGTAGAAGTATTAGCAGTAATGGAGAAGATTAGGGTGTAGTTTATCTAACAAATAAAAATGATGTTTGCGATTTCAAGTAATTTAAAGTTTGTATTCATCAGAGAATTAAAAATTTATGCAAGTCAGTTGTTGAATGCTGTAGAATATTTGGCGGGATTCGAGTCCTCATTGTTCTGAGCAAGAATAGTCTGAGCTACCGTTCGATTGCCTTTAAACAACATACGACATACCTTCAAATCCTAAATATCGTTGATTTACTTTCAAAACCTGTTATATTTTGATACTGGTATAGTTCCAATCAAATAAATATTTAAAAAATTTTGAATTAGAGTTACTGAGATTAGTGTTTTTGATACATTTGAAATCATCAATCAAACAATCATTGTTAGACCACCATTAGAAACCTGGAAGCGCTGAAAGACGGTCGTTTCATCCTGGTATGTGACTCATCAGCAGTGCGCATCCACAACTCCTGCATCTCGCAGGATTCTAAACCGGAACTTTCGGTATTGTGCGCGATCACCTAACATCTGGACCACTGAACCGATATCCGACGGTGTTGATGTCTAACTCTGATTGATCTAGGGATTTAGCGCGACCTCACTCATTTATCCTTGGTAGTTACTGCCTACACATGACAGCGTAGAATTCAACTTGTCATGTCTTCTCACTAGAACTTCGAGAGCTTCCTCACGAAACTAGTCATTAGTGAGCACATTTTACGAATTTTTCAATTAGGGTTATGGAGATCAGTGTCTTATATACATTTGCAATCATCAATCGAACAATCATTGTTAGATCACCATCAGAAACCTGAGAGCACCGGACGGTCGTTTCGTCCTGGTATGGGACTCATCATGGTCGGATGTCAGCCCAGTGGTCCAGATGTTAGGTGTTCGCTCACAGTACTAAAGGACCCGGGCCCGAATCCTGTGAGGTGCAGGAGTTGTGGATGCGCACTGCCACTGATGAGTCCCATACCAAGACGAGACGACTGTCTTCCAGTGCTCCTAGGTTTCTAATAATGGTCTAACACTGATTGATTGGTGATTTCAAATTTAAAATATTATCGATAACTTTTTAATCAGACTGATGATATGTATATCTGATAAGTATGATAACTTGATCATGTGGTATCAATGTTCTTTTACTGTTTTTGTAAGAGTGTGAAAGCTTGGTATTTGTCACATGATATATATATATATATATATATATATATATATATATATATATATATATATAGCACTTCAGTGTACAATTCCAAACAATTCCATGCCAACTATCAATTCACGATCGCTTAATTTGCCCAAGATACGTCAATGTCCTCCTACTTCACGTCGATCAACAAGAAAACATCGACAACTGAATTGTCAGTCACATCGATCAAATAATCCCAGAGTTCTAATAAAGAAACCACGAACGTTTGGATTATATCTTATAACTAAAACCAGTCATCCTTACAAAATTACAAATTTTCAAATAAGTTTAAGTTATAAAGTATTACGTCGTAGTCCTAATCTTACACGAAAAAAAACTAACTCTGCAATACATTGTCAATTATTACCAGTCAATTATTTATTAAACGACAAGTCAGCTAGAACTCAACAACTTCCACGTGAAATAACTGACGATCGTATGCGTGCATTAATGTTGCCTAGTCCACCACACCTAAGGAAAATCAATCACAAAACGCTGACATTGAATCGAAATGCCCGAAAACTGTGGAAAAAATCTCCCGAATTACAATTGATGAGTGAACGATATCGATTGGCGGCCAAAATGCAACCGAAACTACTACACCAAACAAAACGTTATCTAGATCCGAAATTTTCCGATCGATTAATTTATAATGGAAGTCGTTTGAAATTTTTCTATGATTCATTGTATCAATGTAATTTTCCAGCAGTGAAATTTGTCTTGGAACGTGAACCAGGCTTGATTTTAGATGCTGTTGAACCGAACACTGGTTATTCCATTCTATTAGCTGCCTTATTGATTAGATCTCCTTTGAAACGAGTAAAACTAATGAGATTATTGTTGAAATATCTGCAGAAATTTATTCAATTATCCAGTGATCGACTGGATGAGAATGAAATCTGTGCACGGATTTTACAATGGACTGATCCAATCGATGGACGTGATTGTATTGGTTGGACATGTTTACTAGGTTTTGAAGTGGAATTCAAACTACTCATGACACATTTATCCGCTGGGGGTATTGATTTTCAGAAATCCGATTTCACTGGCAATACATATTTACATTTAGCCATAATCAATGGTTCTGTGATGATTGTCAATGATTTATGTCAGTCGATACGAAAATATTGTATTTCAATGGAGAATTGTTTAAATAGTTTTGGTTTAAATCCAATCCAGCTGGCGTATCATTTAAAAATGGATGCAATTACAAATATTTTAGATAAACAATGAATTTGATTGAATTGTCTGTCAATAATTTGTATATGTAAAATTATTTTGTCTATAAATTATCTTTATAAAGTTAATATTTGATTGATACTTACCTAAAGTGATTACGATTTAAAGGGTAGTTAAGCATTCAGAAGAAAGATACTTTTACTAAGTAATGGTTTAAGTAATAATTACTGTTTTTCGGGCAGAGTTTTGGAGGTTTGTGTTGTGTTTTTACACATTTTAAATCATCAGCCAGTCATTGTTAGACCACCATTAGAAACCTGGAAGCACTGGACGGCCGTTTCGTCCTGGTATGTGACTCATCAGTAGCAGTGCACATCCACGACTCGTGCACCTCGCAGGATTCGAACCCGGGACCTTCGGTATTGTGCGCGAACGCCTAACCGTCGGACCACTGAGCCGGCATCCAGTGGCGTTAATGTCTAACTCTGATTGATCTAGGGATTTTGCGCGACCTCATCGATTTGTATTTGGTAGTGTTGGAGATGGATAGGATACACATTTCGGAATGTACCCAACTGCGTCACAAAACAAGCCGTCACATGGGACCATCAAGATCAAAGAAAAAGAGCAAAACCAAACACAACATATTAAGCGGAGAAATGGAGACAGACATGAGAAGTATGAACAGAAATCGGATAGAACTGGAAAGGAAGGTTGAGGACAAAGTAGGTTGGAGAATGTTGGTCAGTGGCCTGTGCTTCACTGTGGGATAAAAGGAATCAAATGAGTAAGTAAGTAAGGCTAGCATTGGATTCTATGGGGCTTGTTTCATCATTGTAATTCATTCAGATTTTTAATGGTACATCCAAGTGTATCCAGCTGATGAATCCCGATGAGGATGAAATACGTGTTCTACACTTCACTACTAGTCAGATTTTATGGATTCTATGTAGAAGGAAATTCAAAACAATGCCAACTAAGTTAACTGATCGTAACAAAACCATTACAACTAATATTCAAGCTCTGTTACAGACTAGACTGATTTGTTAAATGACTGATCAGCTGTCTTTTATTGTCAACTGACAAATCTAGATAACTTTTTCTTGTTATGAATAGTGGTCGAAGTTAATAGGACAGTTCATCCTATAAATATAATGCCTAAAGTAAATCAGTCGAATCTACTTGAAAGATTAAAATCAATGAGAGTTGTTTTACTTCCTCCGCATAAATAAATGACATTCATGCAATGAGATGTGATGTAATCATCATTCGAGTAATATCTAGACTTATGTGAAGTCGTTTGTTTAGTCTTTTCAGTTGTAATCAGTTTTCACTAAGATTACTTTTTGGTCTCTTGTCTTAAGATTAAACCATTTGATTCGCCTTTAAATGGTAGAGTGATATAACCGTTTTTCTGTTCAGCAGAATGAAAAAATAGGCTTTTATCTTAACTGATTTTTACACCCATTGATGAAGTTTAGTGAATAACTATTTGAAATCAATGTTTCAGTGAAGAATTTCACATCGTGTTCAAATGTTGCCATGATACAAATTAAATTCTTTGTGCCCTATTGGAGAGGCATTTTACTAAGCCTGGCTTGTGTTGCGATTGACAAAACCTGATGAAATTCATATGCTGTCCAGTTCAAGTTGGCTTTCTGTACACTGACAGCTTTATAGTCTCTCCATACTCCCTTCGACTCAGCAATGTGTTTAAAAAGGGCAATTAGTCATTACTTTCTGCTTCAAGGGTCCCGAGGACAATGTCATTGTTTTAAATAAACGACATAATTTAATTAAATCTTATTTGAAGTTATTATTGAGAGTAATAATTTTGAATTAATTGATTTGTTAAATGAGGGTAGATATATGCTGTTGAGTTTAGTCACATTGACCTTCGATTATTTCAGTTTGTAGGGTTAAGACTATCAAGTTGATATATATATATATATATATATATATATATATATATATATATACCCTGTGATTCGTGTATCCTAGGTTCATGGATCTGATTTGTCAAAATGTGTCTGAATTCAACAACAGTTTTGCTTAGTTGTTGATAACATTCAATGGTTCTCTAACTATCGCTAGTTTCTGATCAAAACTAACTTCATAATTACTATTTTTATGATATTGGAAAAGGCTTTCTAAATATTCTGCTTCTTAATTTGCTCGCAGATAAAAAGATAGGTAAGTATGATATTATGCTCGTCAACTGATATGCTTGAAACTATTAGCAGTTCACCTTAGTCGGTAAATAAGAGCGAAGACAAATGATCCAATGACATGGTAGGCTACTCTAATCCGAGCGTCACAAGACCCCACCACTAAGTAGAGGAAGAAGACTTGATATGGCGTAGAAAGTGTGTTCAACAAGCACCCAGAAAATCGAGGTTGACAAGCACACAAATCGAGTTTATTTATACACTGATAGAAACGCCCTTGATGAGAGCCACAAAAATAGCGTATTAAAATAACACATTGACTAATTATTTTCCAGATAGGAAATGCAGTCTCAAGGTCAACTGATCAGCTCATGTGCGAAAGCACAAAATCCATAGTTAAGACCTTTATCAAGTTAGTTCTCGGGTTCTAACGTCCTCAAACATATAAACATTTTGAAAAAACAATGATTGAATACTTATCAAACGGCTCTATTGTTGCAATGATTAGTAAATTTGAATAATCATAGAAAACGATTATAATTCTAGAATACTTGGGAAAATTTGTATCGCAAACTTCAAACATGAAAAAAAGTTCAATAATAGAAAACTCAAGTATTTGAATGGATCAAATATAAACCGCGCTCCATCTAAAACAGTGGATAATTTTTATGCGCTGAGATCAAATGATTTCAAGTCAACTGACTCATGCCTGCGCACTACGTGTTTGAACAGGTCGAAATTACAATATAAACAATTGAAGAAAATGACAGGAACCGAAACTCACCTTTACAGTGTTAACTAGTTAGTAAAAATGACGTGAGACAAAGGCTTCTAGTCAGATTTTAATAATAGTAATAATTATACACTTAAACAAGGCCATTACTAATATACTAAATTCTGCATGTGACCAAACGTATTTAAGTTGTCGTAATAACCTGAAACTATCCTAAACAACGGCCTAAGTAAAATTGAAGTGCTTTAACAACTGTGCTACATAGTTTTGGCGTCAGAAGTATACACATATGTGTAAGATATTTCCTCGAATTCACATGAGATTTTGTCCCAAAGTTCATTCAAGATAGTACCGAAACATTTCAGAATTGATAACCTGAATTGGTGACAGAAACAAACTAAACATTGTTAACTGATTACCGATTTTAAAACATACTATAAGCAATTGAAGATTCCTTATGAAAAATTCAACTTTCGAATTCATCGGAATATCTAAAATAAGCCAATCTTCAAAAAACGGAGAATATTTGAGTGAACATTAGATTTCATTATAGAGTTGTGGAGATTGCTGACTTTCATTGACACGAATCATTCATTGTTAGGCCACAACAAAAAAAAAGAGTTTAGGCTTTCGCACGCAAACCCAAATATCCTGAGTTGAATTCCAGCTAGTAGGTGTTATGGATGCTCACCCCATACCAGGATGAAACGGCCTTCCAGTGCTTCTCCATTTCTTATGGTGGCCTGAAAATTAATGTTCACCCAAATATTCTCCGATTTGAAAGTTGGCTTATTAGAAATTCAGATGAATTTAAGAGTTAAATTTTTGTCAAATAATTTACGATTGCTGATAATATGTTTTAGAATCGGTAATCAGTTGAAAATGTTCAGTTTGATTCTGTCAACAATCTAGGCTACTAGTTCTGAGGTGTTTCGGGATTAATTTGAGTAAACATTGCTGGTCCATTCATGATTTGAATGATTTTAGCCATTAGGTTATCACAACTATCAGTCTCTAATTACTGTGCTATTTTATAAAGGCTAAAAACAAGACAGGCAATTATGAATTAGACAATGTTAAACGTAGTGAAATGTTGCCACTGTTACGTCATAAATACTCCAGCAATATGTTATTTCTTAATTGAAAAGGTCATCGCATAAAGGTTAGAATGATTCAAAGTAAAGTGTTAAGTTTTAAATCATATGTGGAGTTATTGAAAACGATTATTTAAGGATTTTTTTATTATCTTTGAAACCAATCTTCATTGTCTGAAATTTTTTTTATTTCTTCATATTCAGATATATGTGTTAATATTTTGATGTAAGTAAACTTAATCCGCTTGAATGTAGCTGAAATACAAAGATTGATTGTTAATTTCAGTGTGTAAAAACACTCATCTCCGTAACTATAAATGAAAAAATCGTGCAATGTTTTCACTAGTGATTAACCTCGTGAGGAAATTCTCGAACTTCTTCGAGTAAGAAGACGAGACCATTGTAAGCAGTAACTGGAGAAATCAGATAAGTGAGGTCAAGCAAAATCCCTAGGTCGGTCAAAGTTAGACACAAACACTATTGGATACCAGCTCAGCGGTGCAGAAAATTAGGCGTTCTCGTAAAAGATCGAAGTTCCTGGATTGGATTACTACGAGTGGCGGCAGGAATCGTTGATTCACATTGCTGATTTGTGCCGTACCAGGATGGAACGGCCGTCTTTCAGTGCTTTCAGATTTCTAATGGTGATCTAACGACAATAAATGATTGGTGATTTCAATGTACGAAAGAGTACAATGAATTCCTTTCACCGCAAATGTTATTATTCACGCAGGATATTTCAGTGCGAAAATTTCTTATGGTATTCAGTGTGGTTAGTAAGCTGATGAGTCGCATACTAGGATGAAACAGCTGTCTTTCATTGTTTTCAGGTTTACCAATGATTGATTCATGATGTTAGTGGGACATAGAGTAGATTAATGCATAAGTGCATTGTTGTTGCACTCTGATTGACTGTTTCATATCCAATCAGTGCTAGCCGATACTGAAGGAACATTCTAGAATCTTATCATGTAATAAAACTATAAATAAACTAGCATATTTACTTATACCTTCTGTCTGCTATCTAACCTTGTTATTGGAATATAATCTAATTTCCTG